GACTTTTGGATTATTATAAATAGAATGACTAGGGTTTTTGTGGCCCATCTTGTCTGAAAAAGAGGCTATACTTGGAGCATTGAATACACCATTATTTTGGAAGCTTTTGAAGAGAGAATTTAAGGCTTGTCTTCTTTGTAAGCTTTATGACTTTATTTATTACTTTGTTCTTGTATTCTAGTATGAGTAGCTAGCTTTAAATACTAAGGTTGTGGACCCTAAATGGGTGTAATGTTAATAGGTGTTTACCATTGAATATATATATATAATGGTTGGTTGATATTTTTTCATTTCTCATGCTTCATTTATTGTTGATGGTTGCAAATATTGACTAGTGCCATTTTACTCTATCTTTACTTGGAAACGTGGGTTAGGGTTTGGTAGAATTGAATAGCAAGAACTCAAGGCATTAAACCTTGTTTAATAGAATTGCTTAGGGATAAGTGGGTTCTACTTGGCTTAAATTGGTCGTTCTCAATTGTAACTCTTTTATATTTTGGAATTTCATAAAGAGGAAATACTACCTAATTATTGGAAAATATTGGGTAGTCATTTAGGAACCGTTTGCATATCAAAGGACCTTTCATTAGAAATATATCATATTAACACCGATATAATTACATTCCATTGATGAGGACACAACCTTGGTTTTCTTAATCAAATTAATCATATTCTCTTAACAAAATAGTTTTCTTGACAATTCACAATTACAACACTTTTTTTAAACTAACGGAGTAGAATTATGACTTAAGTCATGTTTCACACTACCCAAGTAACCTTTTCACACCTATTCCCTGTGGGATTCGACCCAACCTAGTTGGGTTATTATATTTGACATCGACTGTCTTACACCATTTATTTAGGTGTAATTTGAGCGTATCAAATTTTGGCGCCGTTGCCGGGGAATACAGTTTTGAAATTGCTAATTAGTGTGTGCTTTACTTTACATCTTCTTCTATTCAATCACACTTTGCTTGGTGTCATTAGGTAAACATGGGCAAACCGGACGAAGAGAATGTGTTTGCGGATATAGATGAGTATATTGAGGATACAAATGCCATTGTCTCTCCTAGAGTTGATGCTGCTACCTTCAAAGTGGAACACATTCTAATCCTAATGCTAAAGGCGGATGGGTCTTCCAAAATTCCACTGATGATGACCCTACACAACATCTCAGAAATGTTTTGGGTGTATGTGCAATGCACAAGCAGAATAATGTCTTGGATGATGCCCTAAGGTTGAGTGTGTTTAAGTACTCTTTAACTGGAGAGGCAAGCCAGTGGATCCAAAATCGACTACCTAATTCCATCCACACTTGGCCCGAACTTGTCCGAGATTTCCTAGCAAAATGGTTCCGACAAAGCAAAAAGACCAAGCTTTGGGATAAAATTTTCTTCTTTAAGAAATTATCGGGGGGAACATCTACATGAGGCATGGGATAGATTCAAGCTATATTTGGTGAGGTCGCCGAATCATGGCTTTCAGGATAATATTTTGTTGGAGAAGTTTTACATGGGCTTGGATCCTATGAATCAATCCATAGCCAAATATACGGCAGATGGATCATTTATGGATAAAACATTTGCAAGGACCACACAAATCCTCGACAAAATGGCCGAACATAACCAAACTTGTAACTCGGAAGACACCATAGGTGGAATTGCATATGGTACTCCTTCCTTGAACAACATAATTAAGGAGAACCAAGAAAGAGATCAAGTAATTATCGGGCTTGATACCAATATCAATGTGTTGACAAAAATGCTCACTGAAAGCCAAACAAAGAAAGTGAATATTGTGGAAGATGTGCAACCAATGTCAAATGAGGACTATGAATAAGCAAATTATGTCAACAATTCACAAGGAAGATATCAAAGACCACCCTACCAAGGTTCCGGCCAACCACACCAATGGAGATCTTACCTGCAAGGGCAAGGTAACCAACAATGGCGAAACGACCAAGGTAGTTCAAATCAAGGAAATTGAAGTAATAACAACAACAACTTCTCAAATCGAAGTTCAAACCCCCATGTTCCACTAAAGGGGAAATATTCTAACTCTCCACATTGAAAGGAGAGTTCTTCAAGTGAGTCCAAGTTGGAAAGCATGCTTGAAAGTGTATTGCAAAATCAAGAGAGATCCGACACTTCAATGAAAAATATGACCGACCTTGTGGGTTCTCATACCACATCTATTCAAAAGTTGGAGATGAAAATGAGGGATTTATAAACCCAAAAGGTAGTAGGAGTGGCCCAACTTCTCATTGTATTGCCATTACAACTCGAAGCGGGAAAATACTTTAAGGTAAAAATGAACAAGTAGTCGAAGAGGAAGATTCTGAACAAGAAGTTGAGGCACAACTTGAGGTGCCAAATGTTGTTGCAAATGAAAAACTCCCGAAGAAGGTGAACTCTCAAGTGGTGAGACGTGAAGAGGTTAAGGAAAAGGTAATAGAGGCACCAAAACCTCTAGCACCAATTCCTAGACCTCCCCCTCATTTTCCTCAAAGACTAGCTAGAATGGTTAATGATAGCACACTTGAAAAATTCTATGACATTTTAAAACAATGATCGGTGAATATTCCATTTGTGGAAGCATTCCAAGAGATGCCAGGTTTTCCTAAGTACTTGAAGGACTTGATCACTAAAAAGAGAACCACCAAGAATGAAGTGGTGAATGTCACCCACCGGGTTAGTTCCATCATTGCAACAACCGCCATCAAAAAGAAAGAGGACCGGGGATCTTTCGCCATTCCATGCACTATTGGATTGCGTGAGTTTGCTCGAGTCCTTTGTGACAATGGGGCTAGAATCAAATTAATGCCCCTTGCTATTTACAAGCAATCGGGATTGGGAATACCTAGGCCTACAAGTATGAGGTTGCAAATGGCCGACCATTCTATAAAGCGACCGGTAGGAATAGTTGATGATGTGATTGTGAAAGTGGGGAAGTTTTTCCTCCCCACCGAGAAATTGGCACATGCATTCCAGAGCATCTTAGTCATTAATGTTGTTGATGTGGTAGAGGATGCCGCCGAGGTGAAAATGGAAGAGGAATGCCTTGGTGAGACATTGACGGCTATTTTGGTGAATTTTGATTGTGAGCACATGGAAGGATACATGGAATCGGTGAATGCGTTGGAAGGGCTTGGGTCCTACACTTATGCACCAAAGAAGCTTTCTCTTGACTTAGAGAATAGAGTCACCCCCGCTAAGCCTTCAATTGTCGAGCCGCCACAACTTGAGCTCAAGCCACTCCCAGCGCACTTAAGGTATAAATTTCTTGGCCTTAATGAAACTCTACCCGCAATTGTTTCTTCTTTGTTGAATGATGTGCAGGTTAAACACTTGTTGGAGGCCTTTAGGGAGCACATACAAGCTATTTGTTGGACTATAGCGGATATCCGAGGGATTCATGCCGGAATTTGTGAGCACAAGATACAATTGGAGGAAGAGAGAAAACCTAGTATGGAACATCAAAGGAGGTTAAATCCTTCCATGCAAGAGGTGGTGAATAAAGAAATCATAAAATGGTTGGATGCCGGAGTTGTCTACCCCATTGCCGATAGTCCTTGGGTGAGTCTGGTGCGATGTGTGCCAAAGAAAGAAAGCATGACCGTGATTCAAAATGACAAAAATGAACTCATTCTAACGAGGAAGGTGACTGGATGGAGAGTTTGCATGGACTACCAGAAGCTCAATAGTGCTAATTGCAAAGACCATTTCCCTATGCCTTTTATTGATCAAATGCTTGATCGACTAGTAGGAAGGTCATTTTATTGCTTCTTGGATGGTTACTCTGGCTACAACCAAATCAACATATCCTTAGAGGACCAAGAGAAGACGACATTCACATGTCCGTATGGGACCTTTGCCTTCAGCCAAATGCCATTTGGGATGTGCAATGCCCCAGCTACTTTTCAACGATGCATGATGTCAATCTTCTAGGACATGGTGGAGGATTTCTTAGAGGTATTCATGGATGACTTCTCTGTAGTTGGTGATTCCTTTGAGAATTGTCTTGACAACCTTAGGCAAGTTCTCAAAAGATGTGAGGAGACGAACCTTGTGCTCAATTGGAAAAAATGTCACTTTATGGTGGACGAGGGTATTGTCCTTGGCCAAAAGACCTCCTAGAAAGGCATTGATGTTAATCGAGCAAAGATTGAGATAATTTCCATGCTTCCTCCTCCCACTTCGGTCAAAGGTGTTCAGAGCTTTTTGGGGCATGCTGGTTTTTATAGGAGATTTATCAAGAACTTCTCAAAAATTTCAAGTCCCATGTGCAAGCATCTTGAAAATGATGCTACGTTTTAGTTCGATGAGAAGTGCCTCAAAGCTTTTGAGGAATTGAAAGCAAGGCTCACCACGTCACCTATTATTGTCACACCCGATTGGTCTCTTCCATTTGAACTCATGTGTGACGCCAATGGCGAGGCTATTGGAGGATAGATTTCATGGGTCCCTTCGTAAGCTCTTACAGCATGATATATATCTTGGTGGTATTATATTATGTCTCCAAATAGGTCCGAGGCAATTTCCTTGCCGAACAATGAGGCAAGAAGTGTAACTGCCTTCTTGAAGAAGAACATATTTACTCGGTTTGGAACCCAAAGGGCCATCCTTAGTGATGGTGGTTCTCACTTTTGCAACAAAGCTTTTGCCGAGTTGCTTAAAAAATATGGAGTTAACCACAAGATGGGCACCCCTTATCATCCTTAGTCAAGAGATCAAGTTGAAGTCTCCAACCGGGAGATAAAAAATATTATAGCAAAAACTGTTAATGCAAACAGGACCGACTGGTCAAACAATATAGATGATGCATTGTGGGCTTATCGAACGACATTTAAGACACCCATTGGCACCTCACCTTAACGGTTGGTTTTTTGTAAGACTTGTCACTTGCCAGTGGAGCTTGAACACTAATCTTTGTGAGCATTAAAAAAGTTAAATCTTGACCGGGTCAAAGCTGCTAATCTAAGGATGACACAACTCAACGAGATGAAAGAGTTCTGTTTCCATGCCTATGAGAATGCAGCCATGTATAAAGAAAGAATGAAGTCTATTCATGACAAGAAGATTTTGAAGCGGGAATTCAAATTCGGTAACTTGGTCTTACTCTTCAGCTCACGATTGAAGTTCTTTCCGGGCAAACTCAAATCCAAATGGTCTGGACCATTCAAAGTCGTGAGTGTGTCTTCCTATGGCGCTATTGAATTAGAATCCAAGGACGGGACTCGAACTTTCAAAGTAAATGGCCAAAGGGTCAAGTATTACCTCAGAACCATTGAAGAAAGGCAACTGGTAGAACAACTGGATGGTCCTGCACCAATCCCCACCACTGATTAGCCAAAATGGGGGCTACATCATTGTGCCGCAATGTTAAATCAAATTCTTCTTGGGAGGCAACCCATGCGTTGGTAACATTTTTTTGGTTAGATTTTTATTTTGGTAGGTTTATTTGTAAGTGTTGAATAGCTTGACGTGTGTGTTAGAATGAAGGTTACCCAAAATACAAAGAAATAGGATGCAAAGGCATAGGGAAAATTAAGGAAAGCAAGATTCGCTTCAGCTGTTGTTCTGCGGAAACATATGAGGCCGCATAAAGGGTTTGTGGACCGCATAATAGTCGCAGACACAAGTAGAACACCATTCAAATTGAGCCTTAAAAATGCAGAGAAAATTCAACTTCTGCGGCCCGCGGAATTATTCTGCGATCGCAGAGTTGGTCGCACATCTGTTGCACAATACCCAGGTACTAATCCATCGCAAAACACATATACGACCACATAATATATTATGTGATGGTAAGTTCACCGCAAAACAATCAGGTATTAAACCCTATTTCCTTTCTCTCTCATTTCTGTCTATCATCTCTAATTTTACACGCCCATGCACGAAAATAAAACACAAAACAAAAACATAGAGAAAAAAAGGAATTTGTGAAGAAAGGCTCACCTTGCTCACATGATTCACACCAAAGTGCCTTGCTTTATTTTCTGACATCTGGTATGTGACTTTCCAATCCCCCTCTTGCTCAGTTGATTTAAATATTGTTGTATGCTTTAACCCGCCTCATTCTCCCATATCATCCATGTGACCTTTCTCTCTTTACCCTACTTCTTGTCTCTTGTACTGGGAATCGACTTTGGGGGGAAATATGTGCTGTGGGCCGATTAAAATCAGGGGGGTTAGAGTTAGACTTACTAATTTGAGTGTAGGGTTTAGTGATTTTTGGAAATACACAGTGGAAATCGATGGGTGGTACTTAAAATTGATCTAATGTTATTTGTTGGGTAATTATCTCTTGAAATTATGCATTAGCTGTGTAGTATAGAAAACATGAATTGTAAAATGTTATCTGTTGGTGAGTTCTCCACATTTCTTGGTGGAGAAGATGATCTTTGCGGTCCATAGAGTCATCGCATTCTGTATGCTTGGGAGTTTCGTAGAAACCAATTTGTGGTTGAGTCTGCGGCCACAAAAATGGTTTGCGGACCGCATAATGGACACAGACATAAGCAGAATGAAGCTAAGTTCAAAGTTCAAACTGTGACCCATCTACGGTCGCAAACTTGTTCTGCGACCACTTCTGCGGCCCGCATAATTTGTTTTTGCTTCTGCTGATTATATTTTGCGTTGTGGTTTGCGGTCTGCAGAGTTATTCTATGATCGCATAACTATGCGCAGAACATTCTGTGTCTATCATTTCTGTGTCATATGTTATACATGCCCTACCATGTACTAAATCCTCGTTAATTGGCCGGAATGGCACCAAAGAAATCCCTAGCATCGCGAACACCCACCACTCGAGGAAAGAGATGGGCTGCAACTATACGCCTACAATCACAACAATCCCAATGAAAATGGCCTGGCACATCTAGAAATTCATCTGAGCCTACCTCCCAGTTTGAGGAGGAGGAGGCATAGCTTGAACTTGTGCCACCAGTTGACCTCCAGGCCGAAGCACACAGAAAGAGGGGTGAGGATCTCAGGTTTGGGATCACCGGCTCTTGGAATTTGTATAGAGATGGCTTGGAAAAAAGAAAGATCCTCAAAGAAAAGTAGCTGAGTTTGAATGGTCTTAAAGAACACTACCCCCATGTGCTAGAAAACATCCAAAAGAGGGGGTGGGATTTCTTCACGAAGGTTCCATGAGAGTATAACGAGATACTTGTTAGGGAATTCTACGCTGCATATGCTACATCCAGGAACTCAGAATAAAAGAGCAACCGTATATATTTGAACTCTGTCTCAGTACGAGGAGTTGAAATACACTGTGATCCCGACTCAATCAATGATGCATATTCCAAAGATTGGGATCCAAGCATGGCAGAATTTGACGCAAAGATTTCAAATAAGGAATCTGAGCGTGCTTGGGTAGCCTTTGTAATACCCAAGGGAACTCCACCCTGGATTGCACCACGACAGAAGATTAACAAGAGGGATTTCACTCAAGAAGGTCAACATTGGCTAAGCTTTGTCTGTTCTCGTATAATGCCTACGAGAAATGAGACCGACATTAGTCTAGAGAAGGCGATCCTCATTGCTTGCATCATGTCGGGTATCAAAATTGATTTGGGACAGGTTATATTCCCTGAGATTGGGTTCGGGCAAACCAAAAAGAAACCTCGCGCCCTTTCCCGTGCTTAATCCATGCCTATTGTGCAGAAGCAGAGGTTCCTTTGTTCCCCAAACTAGACACAATGATTCTTTGGAGAAGGTGGAAAAAGATCCACTAGAGCAATCACTTACTCTCCCTCCTGCCTCATTTGCTTCAGCATCACCTGCTCCCTCATCAGTGCCAGACACTTCCTCAGCACCAGTTGCCTCCACATCTACTCCCAGACTAGCCACTGCGGCACCACCTATCTCACTGCCTGCACTCTCCAAGCTTGGTCTACTAACACAACATGCCAATGCCAAAGTAGACAAACTGACAAAAGAACTTACATCGCTCATCCGGCAAGCATTAGCCCTGTTCCAAACCTTAGTAAGTGAGCTTCAAAAACAACATCTATCATATGAAGACCGACTCAAGCACTTTAAAGTTCGCCTTGAGAAGATTGAGCGAGGTGGAGTTGGGGATATGCCTCAACTCAAAAAGGATGTAGTTGAGCTCAAGTTGGAGCTGCATAAGATGCAGACACTGGAGTTTGACCTGACCAACCTTCTTTTGGTGGAAGGGGAACAGGGCACTGGCACCTCCCACGTACCCAACCTTGATCAGGATTTCACAAACATCCTGTCAGCTTAGGAGGCACATGGTACTGACATCTCACAAGCTTCGAGTTCAGTTGCACACACCGTTTATCAATCTGATGAGGAATTTGGAGAGTCTCGTGAGAAAATAGATGAGGAGCGGATATTTGAGGAGGGTGATGATCAGAGGGATAACAGAGGCAAGGGGGTTGCCGTTTCTATAGAGGAACTAAGTGAGGAGGAGGTGGATGTGCAAACATCTATCACACACTCCCTTGCAGATATGGTTGGCAGGGCTACCACCATGACCACATAGCCATTATCGGGTGAGGCCAGCAGCTCCCAGGTCCAGGACCCGGCTCTGTAACTGGCGGAGCTTCCTACTTTGGTCTTGGACAACACTGTCCAGTCAAAGGCTCCACCCACTGCCTCCACAATGTCCCGACCCCATGACCACCTCAGATATTCAACCCATTGTTGAGTTAGAGGATCCACCCACTGCCTCCACAGTGTCAGCTTCCGGCCCCACGACCACCTCATATATTTATACCCCTCCAAGCGCCTAGTGCGCCCCAAGAAGCCCCTAAACTTTGATCTTACTTTATCAATGCATTGGGGACAATGCATGCTCTTAGGTTGGGTGTGGGGTAGTCAACTTTTGCAACATGTAGATAAAATCATAGTCTTAATAGTGTAGATTTGTATATAGTAATGAATCCCCCATGGTTTTTCTTTGCCGGGTTCTTTTCGAAGGGTGTAATAGTAGAACCATGGCCATAGCATAAAACGTTTTGACTTGTTTGGTGCTTTTGTTCTAGATTCAAGCATGTGATAATTTTTTGTAGAATAAATTGCACCCTTCAAATTTTATAAATAAACAGTTAGTCATTCTTGTGAAATTGAGGCTTGGTCTTTGACTTTGTGCTTACTTAGAATCTCAAATATTACGTGATGAAGCTTTGAATTGCCTTGTATTCACTTGAGGGCTGAAATTATGCTGATTCGAGCCGTTTATGCATCGTGAGTGGTCAGAATTTGTATAAATAATGCATGTGCTCAACTTGTAATGTCTAGAACTTGCCCAACTGGTTTCTCGATGCAAATCTCAGGTTGATGATTGGGTGTCGAAATTATCTTAGGCTCTCTTTGTGATTGCTAACTAAATTTTGACCAAATTGACCTCCCTGGTGCATTTATTATCCTAGTTATCCCCCACTGAGCCTTTATCCTTTTATTTGGCTACTACATTACCGACCTTTACCCTTTTGTGAAATAATTCCCTCTTTTGAACTTGTCCCTCCTTGAATGTTGAGAATGAGGCTAAAAGCCTAAGTTGGGGGTGTTGGTATTAATTGGGAAATAGTGAAGATGTACATTGTGTGTAGAAGCATATACCTCAAAGTTGTTTATATGAAGATACTCAAGCTCCAAAAGAAAAGCAAAAGAAAATATTTGTATATTTGTATAAAAAAAAATTGTGGAATCTTGCAAATATTAGAGAGTTACTTTGAGGTGGTTCTATGTTGGTAACTAGAGGTCAACAAGGGCTATGTGGTTTAAAAGAGAAGCAAAGTGCAAAAAGAAAAAAACATGCGTGTAGCGTTCAAGGAGGGTACAATCACTATATTCCCAAATATTCATCCAACCTGTCCTGAAGCCTACACTATAACCCTTAAAAAGTCCTTTTTGATCTATAACCAATTGCTCCTTAGGTAGCAATGAGTTAAAATAAGGTCAATCATATGGACTGATATTTGTAGAACTTAGCCTTCTTTCTAAGTGCAAGAGTGTTTGATTGTATCCCCTATACATATTTGTTGAGTTGGGGATTTTCTTTGATGTGAGAATACATGAATAGCAAGATTTAGCATAAGTTAGGCTTCTTGAAGTAGGGTACAAGTGCATATCTAGCTATGGGTAGCACTCTGTCATTGCTCTTGAGGCTCGACGCGCACAAACTGATTATTCGAACTGTTAAATGATCTTTGTCTTCAGAGAAGGGTGAATAAAAGAAGTTACATGCTTGTTAGCTAATAGTCAGCACCTCCATAGTCACTGCTTGAGGGAAAGCAAGAGTCTAAGTTGGGGTGTTGATGTGCCGTAGAAATGCGGCACTTTTGATACTAATTACATAGACTTTAGCTCAT